GGGCCAATAAGGCTTCCAGCTTCAGTCACTGACTGTCAGATTCTGTTCTCCCCCACAACCTGGTTCCCGAGGTCCCCAGGGAACCACAGCCCCAGCCCTCAGCACTCACTCGATGTGATTTCTGTTTTGAGAACTTTGGACATCAAGGCATGGCAGTCCACATCTCCAGCATTCACTGGACACGCATTTCCAATACAAGGGCTTGTTGGAGGGGCTTCCGCACTTTCCCGCCTAAGTGGCCCACTGCTGTCTTGGGCACTCTGCCTCCTTCACCCTGAGCTTAGCTTATAAAGGAATCAGGAAGGGGCAATGACTTTAAGGGAGACAGAAAATGTTGCCCTGGAGGCTCCTCCTCAAGGCTGTCCAGACTCCTGGATCTGTTGGTCTTGTTAAAATCCAACTCAAGGGGCTGGCACGGTGGCACAGCAGGTCAAGCCACTGCCTGCGATGCTGGCATCCCATATGGGCACCGGACCGTGTCCCAGCTGCCCCACTTCCAATCTGGCTCCCTGCTAATGCACCTGGCAAAGCAGCAGAAAATGACCCAAGTACTCGGGGCCCTGAATCAACATGGGAGACCTGGAAAAAGTTCCTGGCTCCTGGCTTCCCCGGGGTCAGCCCTGGTAATTGTAGCCATTTGGGGAGTGAACCAGCATATGAAAGATCTTTCTGTGTCTCCCTTTCTCTGTGTAACACTGCCTTTAAGTAAGTTAATAAATCTTTTTAAAGATTAAACTTAACGGCCACCCTTATATCTTGTATTTAGATCAAAACATCACTGACTATGACTAATTTGCATAAATGTGTGAATTTGATTTGGGTACACATTTCTGAATACCAGCAGCTGTTAATAAACTTATTTTGGGGCAAGCGTTTGACCCAGTGTTGTGACATCCAAATCCCACACCAGAAAGCCTGGCGTGCACCCTGGGAGTCAGCGGATGATGGCTCAAGTGGCTGAACCCCTCCCACTCACGTGGGAGGCCTGGGTTATATTCTCACCTCCCTAGCATTTGGGGAGTAAACTAGCAGGTGGATAATCTTCATCTGTCTGTCTCTCAGATAAGTAAAACTAGGGGCCGGCGCTGTGGCACAGCAGGTTAAAGCACTGGCCTGAAGCGCCAGCATCCATATGGGTGCCGGTTCTAGTCCTGGCTGCTCCTCTTTCAATCTAGCTCTCTGCTGTGGCCTGGGAAAACAGTAGGAGATGGCCCAAGTCTTTGGGCCCCTGCACCCATGTGGGAGATCTGGAGGAATCTCCTGGCTCCTGGCTTTGGATCGGTGCAGCTCCAGCCATTGGGGGCATTTGGGGGGTGAACCAGCAGATGGAAGACCTCTCACTGTCTCTACCTCTATGTCTGTGTCTTTTTTTCTTTAAGATTTATTTATTTACTTGAAAGTCAGTTACGGCAGGCGCCATGGCTTAATAGGCTAATCCTCTGCCTGCAGCACCGGCCCCCTGGGTTCTAGTCCCGGTCGGGGCGCCAGATTCTGTCCCAGTTGCCCCTCTTCCAGGCCAGCTCTCTGCTGTGGCCCGGGAGTGCAGTGGAGGATGGCCCAAGTCCTTGGGCCCTGCACCCCATGGGAGACCAGGAGAAGCACCTGGCTCCTGGCTTCAGATCAGCAGTGTGCCGGCCACAGCACGCTGGCCATGGCGGCCATTGGAGAGTGAACCAACAGCAAAAGGAAGACCTTTCTCTCTGTCTCTCTCTCACTGTCCACTCTGCCTGTAAAAAAAAAAAAAAAAAGAAAGTCAGTTACACAGAGAGAGGAGAAGCAGAGAGAGAGAGGTCTTCGATCCACTGGTTCACTCCCCAGATGGCCGCAACGGCCGGAGCTGTACTGATCCGAAGCGAGGAGCCAGGAGCTTCTTGCAGGTCTCCCATATGGGTGCATGGGCCCAAGGACTTGGGCCATCTTCTACTGCTTTCCCATAGCAGAGAGCTGGATTGGAAGAGGAGCAGCCAGGACTAGAACCGGCGCCCATATGGGATGCCGGCACTTCAGGCCAGGACTTTAACCCACCGTGCCACAATGCCGCACACACAACGCCGGCCCCTCTACCTCTTTTTATAACTCTGTCTTTCAAATAAATAAAATAAATCTTTTTTAAAAAAACAAAATAAGCAAAACTAAAGATCAGGATAGACTAAAAAAAGAAACCTATTTTAGAAAAAAAATGGAGAATGAACGTGCTGTCTAAAAGCTAACAGCCTGCATGGCGAAGAAACAACATGGTATGATCCACTGACTCTGGGGAGCTGCAGCCCTGCACCCAGGATGGGCGCACCAGCTCTGCAAGCTGAGCACAAGCCCATCTTGCAACAAACCCTTTCCAACCCTCTTACAACCAACTTAAGGCCAAAGCCGGCCTCCACCTGAACGGCAATGGCCAGGTTTTCTGCTGAAGCGGCTCTCCCGGCTTTCCATCCCCTGACATGCAGTGCCCCCTAGAGGTAAGTGTGCTGCTGCGCTCCATAGCATCACCGCTGTAGGCCTTCCTGGCCTGGCCAAGCAGCCTTGCCTGCACACAAACCCAGAACCACACGTGCTTTCTTCTGTGCCATTTGACTGTGAGCTGACCTGACTTTAGTTTCCTTTTCTTTTAAAGGTTTATTTATTTGAAAGGCAGAGCTACAGAGATGCAGAGGTAGAGAGAAAGAGGTCTTCCTAACGCTAGTTCACTCTCCAGATGGCCGCAACAGCCAGAGCTGGGCCAATCTGAAGCCAGGAGTCAAGGTCCTCCACATGGGTGCAGGGCCCAAGGACTTGGGCCATCTTCCACGGCTTTACCAGGCCATAGCAGAGCTGGATAGGAAGTGGAGCAGCCAGGACTCGAACTGGCACCCACATGGATGCCAGCACTGCAGGCAGTGGCCCCGGCTTTTCTTCCTCTGCCTCAGAGATGGCTTCTAGGTGGTGTAGGGAGACATGCGGGTGTGGAGACGGGACTGGCCTCTCCCCCAACTATCTCGTACATTACATTGCTTTTATACAGAATTCACAGAAATCAGAGTAGGAGTATAGGCGAGATTGGCCTTTCCATTTTCAAGGGTCTACTTTAAGTACTCGCCATGCAGACTGACAGCTTGTCACTGTTGGACTCCCCTTGGCCAGAAGGCTTTTGAGGGGCCAGCTTGCCCCAAGAGGGCCAATCCTGACCCCAAACACTGATATTCTGCTCTAAGGCACAACCATCCAGCTCTCACCAACGTGGCCCTTCAATTAGCAAAAAACCTTCCCTAGCTGGGTCTCCAAGAAAGTGAAAAGGGCTGGGCTAGGGGCCAGCTCTGAAGCCTAGGGGGCTACGCTGCCACTTGCAGTGCCGGCATCCCATATGGGCGTTGTGGGAGACCTGGAAGAAGCTCCGGGCTCCTGGTTTTGGCCTGGCCCAGCCCCAGCTGTTGCAGTTACCTGGGGAGTGAACCAGCAGATGGAAGATGTCTCTGGCTCTCTGCCTTTCAAAAACAAATTCTCAGGCAGGCGTTGTACTGCCACACATTACAACGTCTGCTCCCAATTTCAGCTACCTGCTATTGTGTACCCTGGGAGGAGCAGGTGATGGCTCAAGTGCTTGGGCCCCCACCACTCGTGGGACACCTGGATGCAGCAGGATCCTGATTTTAGCCTAGTCCAGCCCTGGCTGCTGCAGGCATTCTGAACCAGCAGGTGCAAGTCACTCAGTGACTTGAGCCTCACAGCTGCCTCCTTGTGTCTGCGTGTGTGAAGAGCTAGTTAGGAGCCAGAACAAGTTGAACCCAGGCACTGCAATGTGGCACATGAAAGTCTTAAGCACTAGGTTAAATGCCCACTCCATAATGGTGTTTTAATTTGGAGAGGATTGTCAAAAAGTTACTGTCAGCACATTCTAAGTCGCTGTCTCCTGTTGTCAGTTACTTCTGCCTCGGTACCTGGGGGAAGGCATGCTTCCCACTGGTTTCAAGAGAACTGCCCTGCGAGAAGTGGATCTCTCTTGAAGGCAAGCAACACATAAAGAGCCTGCTCTGCATTGATTAGGACCATGATCATGCTGTAACTATTAAATCCCAGCAAAAGCATCATCACAGATAAGGCTGTATTCATGTTTTTAATTTCACTGGCTTCCCAGCTTCCTCTGGAGTTCCAGTGTAAACCTGTTTCCATTCTACGGTTGTGCTCATTCTAAGAGCTTTAAGCCCCAAGAGTTTACATATGTACAAAGCTGAATTAAACATTTTTTTTTCCTTAGAAGCAGCTAGGTAGGTCTATGAGGCCTTCTGAGAGGTTCACATGCTGCTGCCAGGGTCCCCAGACAGCTTTTTGGCTTCAGCCTAAGTCTGGGCTAGTACCTTGCCTGGCCACCTGTCACCAGTGACTTCTGCCACTCCCTGTGCCCCTGCACATTTTGGTTTCCCCCACCCAATGGACATCAAGACACAGTAGGACTGGGCCAGGCCTGTGACACTTGTGCACTCAGAGACCACTGCTTGCACCATCCTCTTCCTTTTCAGTCCACCCTAGCAGGGCCGAGGTGGAGGACTGCCCCTCAGATGCTGCGGAGCCTCACAGCAAAACACTTGATGCAGGGGTCAAGACATGGGACCCGTCTGCACCTGGTGATCAGAGGAGCTGGGTTTGAGCACCAGCTCCACTCCCAGCTTCCTGCTAACATGCATCCTGGGTGGCAGCAGATGATGGCTCAAGTAATTGGGTCCCTGCCACCCATGTGGTCAACCTGGATTGAGTTCCCAGCTCCTGGCTTTAACCTGGCCCAGCCCTGGCTGTTGCGGTCTTTGGGGACATTCTCTCTTCCCCTCTTTCAAATAAATAACAGAATAAATTTTTTTTTCACAAAAGCACAACACTGTGATTGGCAATCTCACTTAAAGATAACTAGAAAAAACTGCCTCCCTCTAAAATGCAAACTTTGTTTGGATATGGCATCAAAGGGAGGAAAACGCTGCTGACGCTCACATTAACGGCTTTTTACCAGATGAAATGTATTTGGATGACTCAGTTGCTTCTGTTTTCCTTAAAATTTATTTATTTATTTATTGGAAAGAGTTACAAAGAGAGGAAGAGAGTCAGATCTTCCATCCAGTCGTTCGGCACTTACGGCTAGGCAAGGAGCCAGCTTTATCTGGATCTCCCATGTGGGTGGCAGGGGCCCAAGCACTTAGGCCATCTTCCGCTGCTTTCCCAGGCCATTAGCAGGGAGCTGGATCAGAAGTGGAGCAGCCAGGGCTTGAACAGACACCCATGTGGGATGCCAGCACCACAGGCAGAGGCTTAACATACTATACCACAGTGCCAGCCCCTCAAATTTTAAAACATTTTTAAAGTGTAGGTCATAAAAAGAGAAAGCACTTGGCAAAGATTTGATCTCGCCATGGATGGGCTTATACAATAAAATGTAAATGTGATTAGATTATAGACAGTAAGATAAAAGGCGCTCTTACAAAAATCAGCAAATGAAGCATATTTTAAGTTTTAATGTAAAGGTTGAAGATTCACATTATGAAAATTAAAAATCTATTCAAACCCCTCTGTGACAGGAGTCTCCTGTCACCATTTCCCAAGCCTGCCCTCCCCCTCCCATCCATTGATGATTCCCCTCCCACCAGCAGCAGTCTCCCCCTGTACAGGCAGATGGCTGTCATGAAACCCACTCAATGGATCCTTTGGCTACAGCAACACAAAGACAACGCCTGACCTTTCTTTCCCGCCCAGGTCCAGTAGGCCACTGGCTGTCCATCCTTCTGAGCACAGACTGGTGCTTTACATGACGTGGTGTGTGTGGGCAGGAGGAAAGCACACGGCATGTGTGTCTTGGGAGTCATTCTAGATGACTAAGCACATTCTCCAGCAATTCTTTCAAAGGGGATACACAAGAAACAAATGTCCTGAATTCCTCAATATCGAAAAATACCTTTGTTTTACCCTCAAAATCAAATGCTAATTTGGCTGGATACAAGATTCTCGGCTTAAAACCTTTTTCCTGCAGAACTTTGATGATATTGGCCCACTTACTCCTAGCATCCAGGGTGCCCAATGATAAGTCTGCAGTCAACCTGATTCTAGTTCCTCTGTAGGTTATTTCTTTCCTTTCTCTGGAAACCTTTATGATTTTCTCTTTATCACTGGAATTGCAAAATTTCACCAAGATGTGTCTAGGAGTGAATCTGTTTTCATCAATCTTACTGGGTATTCGGTGTGCACTGACAATCTCAAGACTTGAATCTTTCTTCAGCTCTGGAAAGTTTTCTTCAACTATTTCTCTTATTATGTCCTCTGCACTGTTCTCTTTATTCTCTTTTTCTGGAATACCTATCAAACGGATATTGGCACTTCTGGATCTATCCTCTATATCTCTTAACCTTTCTTTATTGATTATCTGTTTGGCCATTTGCATTGCATCCTTAGAGAATTCTTCTACTTGATCATCCAGACTATCCACTCTTTCTTCAAGTATGTCCATTCTGTTACTCAGGTCATTTACTGAATCTTTAATTTCCACGACTTCTGGATGGAAATGTTTTATGTTTTCAATCTCCTCTTGAATCTCTCTGAAGAGATGAACCACGCTTTTTCGAAAGCTTTCTTCTGTTTCCTGTAGTAAGTCTGCCTCTTTGGCAGTTAGCTCTTCTAATTTTAGAGTTTTGTGTTTCTCTTTCTCTGTTTTCTTTAAAACTGTGGCGATCCCTGATGAAGTACTCAAGTTGATACAGGACGGCTCTTCACACTTATTATAACTCTTCTCTATGGTGTCTTCTCCCTCTTCTTCCAGCTCCGAGGTCTCTCCCTCCTCCTCCTCCATCCCTGATGCTTCTTCCCCTTCCTCCTCCTCTTCCAGCCACGAGGTCTCTTCCCACTCCTCCTCTACCCAGGAGGCCTCTTGCTCCTCCAACTTGGGAGTTCCTTTTTCTTCCAACTCCGAGGACTCTTCTTCCTCAGACTCTATGCTCTTCACCTCTGGCTTAGCAATCTTTACCTCTTTAATAAACAGAAAGCTCAAGCCATCACTGGATGGTTCTCCTGCTCTAGGTTTTGAGTCTATTGATGTTTTACCCTGCAAGTTTAAAAAAAAATATTTAAGTCATGTCTTTAAGGAATTCAAACTTCCATTTCAGTTTCTAAATTTTAATGACTACAATTTTGACAATGAGCAGTTATCTAGAAAACTGTTTATATTACTTGTTCTTGAAGGCCTAGGTCCCCAAATAAGTCAAGTTTCCCTATGATCACCTCAACAGTTTTGTAGCCTCACACAATCCTTATAACATCTACTGTTTTCCTTTAAAAAGATGCATGCAGTTTTAAACACTAGGGGCACAGTGGGTTAAGCTGCCGCCTGAGATGCCAGCATCCCATGAGTGCTAGCTTGAACCCCAAGTGCTTCATTTGCCTTTATTTTTTTTTAAAGTTTTTGAGAGGCAGAGTTAAGCAGCAGAAGATGGCCCAAGTAACTGGGCTCCTGACACCCACATGGGAGACCTGGATGGAGTTCGTCTCCTGGCTTCAGCCTGATCCAGTTCTGGTCATTGTGGCCATTTGTAGAGTGAACCAATGAAAGATCTTTTGTGGTGGCATGGGAGTATATTGGTACAACCAACCACAAAATAAGTATTCAAATGATCCACTGTACAACAAAAATGAATCCAAATATACCAAAGTGTACACTGGAATACAAAATACACAGTGAACAAGTCAATAAAACCAGTGGACATTGCTGGCACCGCAGCTCAATAGGCTAATCCGGGCCAGTTCTCTGCTGCAGCCCGGGAGTACAGTGGAGGATGGCCCAAGTGCTTGGGCCCTGCACCCCATGGGAGACCAAGAGGAGCACCTGGCTCCTGCCATCGGATCAGCGCGGTGTGCCGGCCGCAGCACGCCAGCCGTGGCGGCCATTGGAGGGTGAACCAACGGCAAAAGGAAGACCTTTCTCTCTATCTCTCTCACTATCCAAAACAAACAAACAAAACATAACAAAAAAACCAATGGACAGAAGACTTGAACAAGCACTTCACAGAAGATAGATAATCTGTATGGTCATTAAAAAAGCAGGTTCAACTTCAATCAGGTAAATGAGATACCAAAAGAATTGACAACAATTACAGGGAGGGGAATGCTGGTCCACAAGCATAAATACAGGGATCTTTAAAAGGTTTACAGAAAATGCACATATGAAAAAACTATATATGGACTCCAAAATGTTTTACACTAAAGTAAGCTTATCTGCTATAAAAGAAAAAAAATTATTTATTTGAAAGGTAGAATGACACAGAGAAAAAAAGTTCTATCCACTGGTTGAATCCTCAAATAGCCACAACAGCCAGGTCTGCACTAGGCTGAAGCTAGGAGTCCAAACTCCAATCCAGGTCTCCCATGCAGGTCCAAGGGGCACCAGCAGGAAGCTGGGTTGGAAGTGGAGCCAGGACTCAAAACTAGGTGCTTGGTTGTGGAGCACAGGGTTTCTGGAGTGGAGGTTTAACCCACTGCCTCAAAACCCTGACCCTTAAATAAGTTCATTCTTGAGGGCACTATAGAATACTGGTTGGCAAATTAAAACCAAGGATGGTCAGTTATTTTAAGATCACAGAATTGAGCTAACCTAGAAATTTTTCAAAAAATTTTTTACAGTTGTGAAAATAAAAGCAAAAAATAAGTGACAGAGTGTGTGGCACCAAAAGCTATAATATTTACCATCTGGATCTGCCTAAATCCGGGAAAGAACGGTACTATGCATATTGTAAATGTTCTGTGTCTGAAAATATACTGTTTTATATGCTCACAAATACACATTATATATGTATTTGCATAAAGACTTTCTACAATGTACTTGAAGAGTGACAGGCATTTGGTGTGGAGGTTTAGGTGCTACTTGGGATGCCTATACCCCATATTGGAGTACTTGGCTCTGCTCTCAATTCCAGGTTCCTGCTAATGTGTATCCTGGCAGGCAACAGTGATGGCTCGAGTACGACTTTTTTCTATTTATTTATTTGAGAGGCAGAGTGACAGAGAGGGAGAGACAGAGGTCTTCCATCTGCTGGTTTACTTCCCAAATGGCCGCAACTGCTGAAACTAAGCTGATCCAAAGCCAGGAGCCAGGAATTCCTGTGTCTCCAATGTGAGTGCAGGGGCCCAAACACTTGGGCCATCTTCCACTGCTTTCCCAGGCCATAAGCAGAGAGCTGGATTGGAAGAGGAGCAGCAGGGACTACAACTGGTACCCATTTGGGATGCCAGCACTGCAGAGGCTTAACCTACTAGACCATAGTGCCGGTCCCTCTGTCTTTCAAATATAAACAATCACTTTATAATACATCTTAGGAACTACCATTTAAGATTAAGATTGAGGTGTTTAGAAAATGTTTTTAATATCAAAGATATAGGACATACTCTAATACAAGAAACAAAAACCTTAATACATGATATGGATCAAAACTGGGTACACATTAATAGATTATGATGGGCTTCAGTAAATTTTATTTGAATTTTTCCGGTTGCTACTGAGGATTAAAGGACTACTTTATATATTGAAAGTTAAACCTAGGGCCTAGCATTGTGGTGCAGTGGGTTAAGCCACTGCTTGCGATGCTAGCATCTCATACTGGAGTGCTGGTTCAAGTCCCAGCTGCTCTACTTCCAATCCAGCTCATTGCTAATGTGCCTAGGAAAGCAATGTCGTGCCATGGCTAAAACCAGCTGTGGCTATCTGAGGGGAGTAAACCAGTGGATGAAAAGTATCTCTTGGCAACTGTCTTTCAAATAAATAACGAAACCTACCTTAAAAAAACAAAGCCGAAGCTTTCCTTTAATTGATGTTTTCCCCCTTCAAAACAATTTTACCAATAACCAATGACACTTCATACCTAAGCCTGATATCTGTATGCTTACCAGTTTTTCTTGAATCCCGTATCTTCTTCCTCGATGTACTTTTTCATTTTGTGGGAATATATCTTGCAGTAATTCTTTCATAAAAGGTTTCTGACTAATAAATTCCCTGAGGCTTTGGAGGTTTGAAAATGTCTTTGTTTCACCATCACATTTAAATGCTAATTTAACATCACACAAAAATGTAGGTTCCAAATCATTTTCCTTTAGAATTCTGAAGATATTACCCCACTGCCCACTAACACCCAGCGTTGCTGACGACAAGTCTGCTGCCAGTGTAAGTATGGCCCCCTCATCAAACCATTCTCTGGGGGCTTTTTGACACTTTTCATTCCTGAAGCTCTGAATGTTTTTCTCCTCTCCCATTTCCTTGACTTCTTCACTCTGTGTGCTCTCATCCTCTTCATCTTCTATATGCATAGTGCTCTTTCCGTATCTGTCATCAATATCGTACAAGGCTTCTTCCACACTTACAGACACTTTCTGATTTTGGGATGACTTCTGACCTTTATTACTTCTGTTCTCTTCTGATTCATCCAACCTGCTACTGAACTCATTCATTTCTTCTCTTTTGTGGATTAAGTTTACAATGTCCTCTACTATTTTAGACTTTTTCCCTTCCATTTTTTCTACTAAATGTGTAGTTTGTGAGGCTAACTCTTTGACCTGTTGCCAGTCTTTCCTGCTTCTGGAGTTGTCTGAATTTTTCATTTCTGGTATTATACTTGTTGCTGCTAAATTTTGCTTTAGGTCATTTTTAAGACTTTCTCTTATCTCTTCAAACATCAGATCCTGGATTTCCATCAAGACCTTATACTTCTTCATAATAACTGCTGATATGTCTTTGTCCTTATCTGTTTCTATTAGCTGTTTTCTTTCAACGTAGGTGAGGTTGTCCTGTTTCTTTGGAAGTCTAGCCATGTTTTGATTGTGCCTTGGACTTTGGGGCTATCACGTAAAGAGTCTTATTTCTTCCTGGAAGAGTTTTTTTTGTTTGTTTTCTTTTTTGGCTCTTGCTCACCAGCTAGATTTCAGAAATACAAAATCTTAAAACATGTCATCTGAAACAAAGAAATTAGAAATTGTTTACTAAAGAACTTTAGCTACTCAATAACATAAACATGGCTAAGAAAATTGCTATGTGTAGCCCAGGAAAGTTTAATGTAAGAGTCACTAATGAGATGAGCATGAAAAATTTTTGTAGTTCAAATTTTATACAACATGGTCATTAAAACACCATTTAGATAAAGACTTGAACGGAACAGATCAAGTAAGCCGCCGATGACTAAAAATAAAGCTGCCTGACCATGGAGGAACTTGAGAGGCTGTCCCACTCCATTCCTTCACTGTTCACTTACCAGGGATGAGAAATGGCAAAAGTGCAATGCAGCCATTTGGACAACAGGTAGGATGCTAGTTTCTGCATCTTTCCCTCCACATAAGCTAGTAGACATTCAAGTGTTACCAGATGAGTTTATTGTTCATTACTCACAATTGCAGTAACAGCAGGTCATCACTGCTGTCAAAGACTTGATTTTATTTATTTATTTATTTGAGAGGTAGGGTTACACACAGAGAGAAGGAAAGTCAGAGAGAAAGGTCCTCCATCCATTGATTCACTCCCCAGATGGCTAACACCAGCTGGAGCTGAGCCGCTGGGAAACCAGAAGCAAGGAGCTTCTACCAGGTCTCCCACATGGCTGCAGGAGCCAAGGACTTGGGCCATCTTCTACTGCTTTCCCAGGCCACAGGCAGAGAACTGGATAGGAAGAGGACCAACTGGGACACAAACCAGTGCTCAGATGGGATGCCAGCACTGCAGGCACAGGTGCTACTATGCAATAGCACCAGCCCCTAAATTTTTTTTTTGACAGGCAGAGTTAGACAAAGAGAGAGAAAGGTCTTCCTTACATTGGTTCACCCCTGAAATGGCCACTAGGAAGCCAGGAGCCAGGTGCTTCCTCCTGGTTTCCCATGCGGGTGCAGGGCCCAAGGACTTGGGCCATCCTCCACTGCCTTCCCAGGCCACAGCTGAGAGCTGGACTGGAAGAGGAGCAACCAGGACTAGAACCAGCGCCTGCAGGCGGAGGAGTAGCCTATGAGTCGCGACACCGACTCCTAAATTTTTCTTACAAAGACTTCACTGGTTTGAGTCCTGGCTGCCTCTGCTTCTGCTTCTGCTCCTGAATCGTGGCTTCAGCTTGGCCCAGCTCACTAGGCTAATCCTCCACCTGTGGCGCCAGCACACCGGGTTCTAATCCTGGTCGGGGTGCTGGATTCTGTCCTGGTTGCCCCTCTTCCAGGCCAGCTCTCTGCTGTGGCCAGGGAGTGCAGTAGAGGATGGCCCAAGTGCTTGGGCCCTGCACCCCATGGGAGACCAGGAGAAGCACCTGGCTCCTGCCTTTGGATCAGCGTGGTGCACCAGCCGTGGCGGCCACTGGAGGGTGAACCAACGGCAAAAGGAAGACCTTTCTCTCTGTCTCTCTCTCTCACTGTCCACTCTGCCTGTCAAAAAATAAATAAATAATAAAAAAAGACAGGACACAACCAGAGATGGACAACAGCTAAAAAACTGGAGAATTATATGCTTTCATAATAAAATACAAATATTCCAATATTCTCCGAAAAGATATATAACTTTGAGAACAATGAGGAAAAAGTTAAGAGTTTTTGTGTCCCAGCTGCTCTACTTCCAATCCAGCTCCTTGCTCTTATGCCTGGGAAATGCAATGGAAGATGGTCCCTGCCACCCATGCGGGACAGCCCAAGGAAGCTCCTGGTTTTAGCCTGTAGTGACTATTAGGGGAGTGAACAGCAGATGGAAACTCTGTCTCTTCTTTCTCTCTGTAACTGCGTCTTTGAAATACAGAAGGCTATTAACACAGAAAACCCAATTGTATCTAACAAGTTGACACCAAGATCAAGTTGGGTTTACTCACAAGTTCAAGGACTACAGCTCTAAGATGGCATGGTACTTTCTAACAGATACTTGTACACTCTTATCCAGAGCAGTGTCACTGACAATAGCCAAATGTCTATCATCAGATGAGGGATAAATGAAACGTGGGCTACATGTGCAATGGGTATTACTCAGCTTTCAAAGGATGTGCTCCACACAGAAGAACCTTGAAGATGTAAGCTAAGTGAAACAAGCTAGACACAAAAGGAGAAATATTCTATCATTATCCACTTTCGTGAGGTTTTCAGAGTTGTCACAGTCACAGCAACAGAAGTCGATTGTGGTTGCCAGGGAGGAAAGGGAGTGCAGAGTCACTGTGTAGTGGGTGCAGAATTTCAGTACAGAAAGCAGCAGCTCTGGAGGCAGATGGTGGGATGGCTGCACAGCAATGTGAATGTACTGACTGCAACTAACTCTACGCTTAGTATGGTTGAGATGGTAAATAATTGGTTATGTTTGGGGCTGGCGCTGTGGTATAGCAGGTAAAGACGCTGCCTGCAGTGCGGGCATCCCATATGGGCACCGGTTTGAGTCCCAGCTGCTCCTCTTCCGATCCAGCTCTCCTCTGCTATGGCCTGGAAAAGCAGAAGATGGCCCCCAAGTGCTTAGGCTCCTGCACCAGTGTGGCAGACCTGGAGGAAGCTCCTGGCTTCGGACTGGCACAGCTCTAGCCGTTGAGGCCAATTGGGGAGCGAACCAGCGGGTGGAAGACCTCTCTTCTCTCTCTCTCCTTTCTCCATGTAACTCTGACTTTCAAGTACATAAATAAATCTTTTAAAAAAACAATTTGTTGTGTTGGACACATTTTTTTAAATGTTTATTCCTTGATTTTTATTACTTGAAAGGCAGAGCTACAGGGAGGTAGCTGCTCACTCCAGATGTCCAGAACACCCAGGTCTAAGCCAGGAACTCCTAGGTTGGTGCCAGGGACTCATTATTTCAGCCGTCATTTGCTGCATTAGCAGGAAGCTGGTTGGGAAGCAGAAGCAGAGGCGGGACTCCATCCCAAGTACTCCCACATGGGATGCATATGTCCTAAGGGGCAACTTAACCAGATGCACCACAACACCCACCCCAAGTTCTTAATTTTTATTAAGATTTATTCACTTGAAAGGCAGAATGACAGGGACAGATGCACCCCGCGGGAGACTGAGATGAAGCTCCTGGCTTCAGCCTGGCCTGGCTTGCCAGTTACGGCTATTTGGGAGTGAACCAGTGGATGGAAGAGCTGTCTCTGCTCCTCCCTAACTCTGCCTTTCAAATAAACAAATCTTAAAGGAAAAAAAATGATGCAACAAGGAAAGTGTTACTGAATTTGGGATAACAGATCAGAGGCTCCAGCATGGCCCAGCTCTGCCTCTTCTAGGTATCTGGGTAATGAACCAGCAGCCACTCTGCCTCTCAAATAAAATGTAAACACAAAAGCCAGGTAAGATTTTTCAAGAAGAAATTTTAAAATTACAATGTTTAAACTTAAACATGAGAAAGGAGGGACCAGTGCTGCGGTGTTGTGGGGAAAGCTGCTGTCTGCAGTGCCAGCATCCATATGGGCACCGGTTCGAGTCCCAGCTGCTTCACTTCCGATCCAGCTCTCTGCTATGGCCTGGGAAAGCAGTGGAAGATGGCCCAAGTGCTCAAACCCCTGCACCCATGTGGGAGACCCGAAAGAGGCCTTTGGATCAGCATAGCTCCAGACAGTGTGGTCAATTAGGGAGTGAACCAGCGGATGGAAGATCTCTCTTTGCCTGTCTCTCCTTCTCTCTGTGTAACTCTTTCAAATAAACAAATCTAAAAAACACACACACACACACACAGAGAAAGGAACTAGTAAAATGCTTAAGAAATGATTAACAAATACTGGTCATAGAAAAAGCTGGATGAAGTCATATCCTGCCACAAAACTTTGAAATAATCAAACTTGTTTCAAAAAGTAAAAACAAAAATTCCTCATCAAATCAGTTTCATAAAAACCAAGAAAATGCTAAACATTTTTATTTGAAAAGCAGAGAGACAAGACACACACACACACACACACACACACACACACAGATCAGCCTTCCATCTTCTGCTTCAATCCCCAAATGCCCACAGGTCAGGGCTTGTTCAGGCCAAGGCCAGGAGCCAGAAACTCCATCTGGGTCTGCGATGTGGGTGGCAGAGGTCCAAGCACATGGGCCATGATCTACTGCCTCCCAGGTATATTAGCAAGAAGTAGTATTGGTAGTGCAGAAGCCGGGACTGGAACCAGGCACTGATATGGGATGTGGGCATCCCAAGCTGTGTCTCAACGGCTGTGCCAAAGCCCACATGTCCAGCAATTCCATCTCTACAAGTTTCCATAGTAACTGTACAGAATATTTTTGTTAATCAGTTCTAAATGGCAAGAAACTACAACAGTTCACTGAAGAAGTATCCAAGAACAAAAATCACAACTTACCTAAAAAATCTCCATCAGCTTTATTTTCCAACCTAAATCAGGCAATGCTTCATGCTAAGTGTTCCAACAGGCTGTGCAGAAGAGCTTTGTTTTACAACAGAAGGGCTGAAAAAGGCAGAGACAAAAATCAAAGTGCAGTGATCATTTTTAAAGTTCCTTTCTTTGTAAGGTGTAGAAAGGAAGATAGTTAACATCAGACTTTCTTGGGTTACTTTTTCTAAGAATTAAGGGGTTAAAAGAGATAAGGATTGAAGCAAAGGGAAGTTGAAGGTCAAGCCCACTGGCTTGTTTGGTAAATGTCATTCTCCTGACTTCTGGGAGGACAGAATACTGAGCTCTGTGACACGGATCTTTAGCATGGGGGACTCCACTTTATTTGGGCGGACTCAATGCAGATTAGTCCAATGCTTCCTATAAAGTTTTATCTAGTAGAGGAGAAACATTTAAATTCTAAACTGAGCAAATAATCTTTAAAATTTCCTGAAGTTCATAACAACTGATAAGAAAAGTAAAACATTTAGAGAATACAAATCACTACTAAACAGGAGTTAGGGGTATAATCGGAAAATGAGGTAAGACCACTTTTATTCATCAGGAGTGGGAAATTTGAAAAATCTATTAAAATCAGAAAGAAGACATTACCATCTCCATCTTAAAAATACACCATAAGGCCGGCGCCGTGGCTCACTAGGCTAATCCTCCGCCTTGCGGCGCCGGCACACCGGGTTCTAGTCCCGGTCGGGGCGCCGGATTCTGTCCCGGTTGCCCCTCTTCCAGGCCAGCTCTCTGCTGTGGCCAGTGCAGTGGAGGATGGCCCAGGTGCTTGGGCCCTGCACCCCATGGGAGACCAGGAGAAGCACCTGGCTCCTGCCATCGGATCAGCGCGGTGCACCGGCCGCGGCGGCCATTGGAGGGTGAACCAATACAGCAAAGGAAGACCTTTCTCTCTGTCTCTCACTGTCCACTCTGCCTGTAAAAAAAACAAAACAAACAAAAAAACAAACAAAAAAACAAACAAACAACAACAACACCATAAAACCACTTGTACTAATAAACATATTAACAGAAAATTTGGTAGTGAGGTTCTCAGGTTCTCATGACCAAAAAACACCACTAAACTGGAAAACAATGTCTTTTAAAAAAAAAAAATTTACTTATTTGAAAGGCAGAGCCACAGCGAGGCAGAGAGAGGACCTCCAACTGCTGGTTCACTCTCCAAATGGCTGCAATGGTCAGAGCCGGATCTATCCAAAGCCAGGAGCCTGGAGCTTCTTCCCAGCCTCTCACATGGGTGTAGGGGCCCAAGGACTTGGGCCATCCTCTACTGCGTTCCCAGGCACACTAATAGGGAGCTGGATCGGAAGTGGAGCAGCTGGGACTAGAACTGGCGGCCATCTGGGATGCCGGCACTGCAGATGCTACGAAACAACTCTGGCCCCCAACAATGTCTTTTAAATAAGGGTTGAACCACTTGAGTTCATGCACACCATGGGGATACCTAATACACAATGTATATCTACCATATGTAATATCTAAGACATTATAGGGAATTCCTAATCTGAAAAACTCCAAAACCTTTAACTCTTGAGTGGCAAAATTGGAAAATTCCAAACCATGAAACTTGTTTCAGGCACAAAACAAACACTTCTAGTCCCCAGCATTTTAGATAAGGGATACTCAGACCATGCATACAATAAGTACATGTGAACATACAACACATGTTTATCTGTGTATATACACATTTACATAACACATCATTAAAAAACTGATTTCAGCCGGCGCCGCGGCTCACTACGCCGGATTCTGTCCCGGTTGCACCTCTTCCAGGCCAGCTCTCTGCTGTGGCCCGGGAGTGCAGTGGAGGATGAATGTCCAAAAAAAAAACCCACTGATTTCAATTTTTTTGCATCAAAATACCTTATTTTTTGACAGGCAGAGTGGACAGTGAGAGAGAGAGAGACAGAGAGGAAGGTCTTCCTTTGCCGTTGGTTCACCCCCCAAATGGCTGCTGCGGCCAGCACTCCGCGCTGATCCGAAGCCAGGAGCCAGGTGCTTCTCCTGGTCTCCCATGTGGGTGCAAGGCCCAAGCACTTGGGCCATCCTCCACTGCACTCCCGGGCCACAGCAGAGAGCTGGCCTGGAAGAGGGGCAACCGGGACTAGAACCCGGGGTGCTGGCGCCGCAGGCGGAGGATTAGCCTAGTGAGCCAAGGCACCGGCCCAAAATACCTTTCTGTTAATTCTACTTCTCCATAAAATATTTGTTTTACCCACTGTGCCACAGTGCCAGCCTCTCTCCATAAACTTTAATATGGGTCCCAATTTGAGTCCCAGCTGCTCTACTTCCGATCCAGCTCTCTGCTATGGTCTGGGAAAGCAGTAGAAGATGGCCCAAGTCCTTGGGCCCCAATCTAGCTCCCTGAGCCCGGGTGAGCAGTGGAAGATGGTCCAAGCTCCTGGGCCCCTGCTACCTACAAGAATACTCATAAGCAGCTCCTGGTTCCTGACTCTGGCCTGGTCCAGCCCTGGCCTTTATGGCCTTTTGGGCAGTGAACCAGTGGGTAGAAAATACTTGTCTCTCCCTCTCTCTGCAACTTTGCCTTTCAAATAAATACATAAATCTTTAAATAAGTAACGTGACTGCAGGGAGCAGGGAAGGAGCGGTGTTAAGAGTCATAAACAGAGCCAATGTGTGGTGCAGTAGGTTAAGCTGCTGCCCACAATGCCAGCATCCCACATAAACACCAGTTCTAGTTCCGGCTGCTCCACTTCCACTCCAGCTCCCTGCTAAGGCAGCCTGGGAAGGCAGTCCTACCATCCATATGGGAGTCTTAGATAGAGTTCCAGGCTCCTGGCTTCAGCTTGGCCCAGCTTTGACTTATAGTCATTTGGCAACTGAACTGATGAATGGAAGATCCCTCTCTCCAACTCTTTCAAATAATAAATAGGGGCTGGTGCTGTGGTGTGATGGGTAAAGCCACCCGCCTGCAGTGCCAGCATCCCATATCATGTCCTGGCTGCTCCATTTCCAATCTAGCTTTCTGCTACGGCCTGGGAAAGCAGTGGAAGATGGCCCCAGTCCTTGGGCCCCTGCACCCACGTGGGAGACCCAAAAGAGGCTCCTGGCTTCGGATCGGCGCAGCTCCAGCCAGTGCAGCCATCTGGGGAGTGAAGCAGCAGATGGAAGATCCTCTCTTCTCTCTGCCTCTCTCAAACTCCGCCCTTCAAATAAATAAATAAATCTTAAAAAAAAAAAAAATTGTGAGCCAAAATAAAACCGATTAAAAAGAAGTCCTTGATATGTTAAGAGAATAAAAGTTGCAGAACATAAGCAGTTCAATCCTGTTTCTGAAAACACACACAGAAGCCTAATGGGCAATAAACGAACAGATGTTCAATTATATTAGGGGATGCAAACCAGATTCTAGCATTGGGGAGCCATGGTTACAGCCAGTGCTTGGTCAAAGACCCTCCCTCTCCATCTCTATGGTGGCCCCGGACACTGGGAGATCCCCTGGCAGACGCCCTATGATCTAGCCCAGCTCCTAACCGGCTTTCGTCCTGAGGAGTCATTCCCAGTACACAACAGGCATCATGCCTACCACCAGGAGTGGGCGACCGGGCCACAATACACCCCAAAACTGGAACCTTACACAGCAATCAGAAATGAGTCATGGGGGGGCGGCTGCTACTGGGTAAGGCTGACTGTAACTGGAATCCCACATGGGCGCCGGTTCGACTCCCAGCTGTTCCACTTCCAATCCTGCTAATGGCCAGAGAAAGCAGTAGAAGATTGCCCAAGTCCTTGGGGCTCCAGCACCCACGTGGGAGACATGGATGAAGCTCCTGGCTTCAGCCTGGCTCAGCCCTGTGATTGGGTTCATCCCGGGAGTGACCCAGTGGGTGGAAGCTCTCACTCTTTCTGGGCAACTCTACCTTCCAAATAAATTCATATTCAAAAAAAGAAAAGGGTATTTTTTAAAAATGTCCTGACCTAAGTGGAAGTTACCACGCGGGAGAGACACCCAGCCATACCCTGGGGGGCCAAGGATTGCGAAGGGTGTGGGCAACATTAACTGAGCTTCCTGGAAGGGGAAGGCTGCAGCGCCGCCAGCAAATTCGGGCGGAGAAAAGAGCCCACACACCTTTATGAACTTGAAATAAACATATGAACGGGTGGCAATCACAAGCCAAGAAAATGCAAATGACGAGAGTTTTTCTTCTCCCTCGGCCGGCCAAGATTAAGGGGAAACTTGCCAGCCGGCTCCACCCAGAAAAGGTGTGTGAATTACTCCGCTCGACCGCCCTGCGCCTCTGCTCCCCGCCCCACAATCATCTTCCCGCGGTACAGCCTTAAAGGAACTTCCGGCCGACACTAATCAGGGCTCCCAGCTCGGTCACGACCCCAGCCCCTTTCTGCGGCGGGCGAACGCTACAGACCTGGGATCGGCCGAGGTTGCTCCGGCCTCTGCCTTCCGCCGGGATCGGGGGGCTGGACCTGACGGGCCTGCGCACAGAATCCCGACTCTCAGTTCTCGGAAGCGAACGAGAACACGTGTGTTAATTTCCGGGAATCTGACTGGAGTTTAGCATTCCCAACAGCTATCAAAAACGCTAAGTTGTGCGAGCGTCCTAACCTGAGGTGCAAAACTGTTGCACCGTTCTCGCAACAACTTTACTGTGCCTTGCGCACTTGTGGATTCTGCAAAGCGCATCCGGACCCCACCTGGAGCCAAGGGCAAGGACTCCCCGTGGTCCTAGGCCCAGCGGTCCTAGCTAGGGGCGCACTCCGGACTCAGCAGTCCCCGCCCCGCCCCCGCCTCTTACCTGCTCCCCCACCCCCGGGGCCCCTGGCCGTGGAATCCCCAGCAGCTGCGTCCCGGCGCCTAGAAGTCCGCGATGGAGAGGTCAGCCCACTTTAGAACTCTCCAGCTGTGTGCTTGCTTAGCAAAACACCCCCTAGCCAGGGGCAGAGTCCGGGATTGGCAGTGGAGAGAGGGCGGCGAGGAGGGGTAGGGGTCCTACGTCTAAGACAAGCACCTCTTTTGGAGCGAAGGAGCCAGCCGGAACACTTGGAGGGTGCGTAGGGGTCTCCAGCGGCCTCCCCCACGCACGTCCCACCCCTCACCCACAGCACCACGTTCAAGGCCCCGCCCGCACGGAGTGCACACGAAGCCTAGGCCTGGCCCGCTCCCGAGCGCCCCCGGCCCGCTGCTCCCCAAAGCCCGTATCCACTAAAGCTGCACCCCCCCCACACACACACCCCAAGCCAGCACGGGCCAAGCACCCCTTCTTCCCTCGACGCCGCTATTTTAGGGTGCTCGCTTTGGGGCACCGGAGGCTTCGCCAGGTGCCTCGCCCGCTGCCCCCCAGCCGGTGAGGAACGACGCAGGGTTGCGAAGGCCGCACCTGGGCCAGCCTTACCTGGAGAGGAAGGGAACCAGCCCGGAGAACCATGCGGCGTACACTCCGAAAAGCCAGGAGCGCCAAGTGAGGCGCTGGTGGACTCTGGCAGTCCTGGTGGCGGGCCCGCCCCTCCTCCGGTGGGTTTTCCGTTTCTGGGCCCAGCCCCCTCTCCTCCACACCGCCTCGCCTCCTCCCGGCCCAGCCCCAAAGCAATGGCTGACTTCCAATCGCCGGCGGCCAACCGAGTTCAATTCCCCTCCCCCTGGAAGCGCCCCACCCCCACCAAACCGGTCCGGGCTCACAGCCTGACGAAGACCCCGCCACGGGCCTGCTAGGGGCCAGCCGGGAGTCCGCTGTCTTCCCCAGTTCCCACTGTTACGCCGTCCCCAGGCCCTTGGATTTGCCCGCTGCAGCCCACCCATGCCCCGACAGCCCTCACCTGGCTCACTGAATTAGCCACCGACGGGTCTGGAATCCGCGCTGGCCCTTCTGAGAGCCTCCTCCCAAGCTTTCATTGCCTTCCCAGTTCTAACTCCTCACTCGTCCCACTCGGACTTTGAGCCTTGTTTGGGACTTCTCCCTCCTTTTCCTGCCGCAGGGTCTTTGCACCAGCTGTTTCCTCCGTGGGTTGTTTTCCTAGCTATTTCAACACTGGCCTCTCTCTGCTGAGGTCTCAGGTCAAATGTCAATCCCCCCCACCTCCCACATGGCCCTTAGACCACGCACGCTTTCCTAATGTGCTGTCTCCACATCTTCTCTATTTGGTTCTCAGTTATCAGAATCTGAACTCCTCTGCTTTGGGAAAGAAATGTGATAGTTGTCAAAATCAAAATGGAATTACCTGCAACAACTCTCACAAAAATATTAAGGCAATGAATCCGGGAAGTTATGGAGAAAGGTCCTTATGCATGATTGCCCGATATGAACAGTCAGAAAAGACTTCCAGAACCACAACATGGCAAAGAGGCCACCACAGCCTCATGCAACTATCCCTCTAGCCTGGGACTACATCATCACCTTGGCCAAAGATTGTGTTTCAAAATAACTGATGTGGGGAGGCCGCCATTGTTGGGCAGCCAGTTAAGTCACTGCTTGGAAGGCCCACATCTGAGACTGGAGGGCTGGTTCCAACCCAGCTACTTTGTTTCTGATCCAGCTTCCTGGTAACTGCCTGGGAAGCAGCCCGGGATGGCTCAGGTGCTTAATTTTCAGCCGCTCACGTGGGAGACCCAGAATTCCTTACCTTGACATGGTCCAGCTCTGACTATTGCAGCCGTTTGGGTGAGCGAACCAGCAGAGTGAAGACCTCTCTTTCTATCACTCTGCGTTTCAAATAAATAAATCCTAAAAACAAACAGAAGTGGGGTGGTGTTTGGCACAGGAGGTTATCCCTTATCGGAGCGCTCCGTTTCCGTCCCAGCTACTCCACTTCAGATCCAGTTTCCTGCCCCTGTGTCCCTGGAGGCAGTAGGTGATGTGCACATGGGACACCTGGATGGAGCTCTCGACTTCTGGCTGTAACCTGGTTCAGCCCTGGCTGGTGTGGACATTTAGGATGGGAACTAGCAGTTGGAAATTTCTGTCTCTGTCTCTCTGCTTCTTAAATAAAAGTGCATATGAGATGCAGGCATCCCATCGGCTGTTCAACTTGCTATAACACAACACACACTTCTCATGATCTTTTAAGAAGGAATAAGAAGATAGGCGGGTGGATGGATAAATAGGTTGGCAGTGATATCTATTTATATCTCTCTCTGTATATGTTTGTATCTACATAGAAATTGTATCTGGGGAGGTGCAGCGTTGTGGTATAGCAGGTAAAGCTGCTGCCTGTGATGACCACATCCTGTATGGGTGCCAGTTCGAGTCCCGGCTGCTCTACTTCTGATCCTGCTCTCTGCTATGGCCTGGGAAAGCAGTAGAAGATGGCCCAAGTGCTTGGGCCCCTGCACCAGTGTGGGAGACCTGGAAGAAGCTCCTGGCTCCTGGATTTGGATCAGCCCAGCTGTTGTGGCCATTTGGAGAATGAACCAGCAGATGGAAGATCTGTCTCTCTCTCCCCATCCCTCCCACCCTCCATCCCTCCTTCCTTCTGTAATTCTGCCTTTTAAATACATAATTAAAAAAAAAAAAAGGAAGTGATGTCTGTATTATCAATTTGGATCTGTATTTGTGAGGTGAGTTGGTGTGTAATTGTTTTTTTGTAATGATCTTGTCAAGGCAATGCTGTTGAAAAGTGTCTGTCTCCATTCTAATTTCTCATTGCACTTAAATAGGATTGTTACAATTTTCTTCCTTACATTTTTATGGGACTAACCTTATTGAACACATATGGAACTAGAATTTTATTTGTGAGAATATTTTAAAATTACAAATGTTGTGGGGCCTGCGTTTGTGGTGCAGCTGGTTAAACCCCCATTTACAGCACCAGCATCCCACAGGGGCGCTAGTTCGAGTGCTGACTGCTCCACTTCTGATCCAACTCCCTGCTAACGCACCTGGGAAAGCAGCAGAAGATGACCCAAGTATTTGGGCCCCTGCACCCGTGTTGGAGACCTGGTTGAAGCTCCTAGCTTCTGGCTTCAGCCTGGCCCAGACCTGGCCATTTTGGCCATTTGGGAACTGAATCAGCAGATGGAAGACCTCTCTCTGTCTCTCCCTCTCTAACTCTGACTTTCAAATAAATAATAAATAAATCTTTAAAAAAAAGTTCCCAGGCCTCCATCTCCTGGAATCTGCCAATAATTTACTGTAGCATGCACATTCCCATCGTGGTGTTCTACTGTTCCCAAATGTCATCACCCTTTACAGAGTCTCTCTGATTTTTATTTTTTTTTTAAAGATGTATTTATTTGACAGGCAGAGAAGTGGGGGGAGGTCTTCCATCTGCTGGTTCAATCCCCAAAAGGCCACAACAGCAGGCGCTGGGCCAAGCAAAAGCAGGAGCTGGGCACTCTACCAGGTCTGCCATGCGAGTGGCAGGAATCCAGGTACTTGAGCCTTCATTTGCTGCCTCCCAGGGTGCATATTAGCAGAAAGCTGGACCAGGAGCAGAGGAGCTGGAACTCAAACTGCGGGACTATGATACAGGATGTGGGTGCCCCAAGCACCACAGCCCCAGCACCTGCCCTCACACTTTCTCAGAGCTCCAGCCTTAAATACCAGGTCCTAGCGTTACACAATTTGTTTCTGGGGAAAACTGGTTCCCACCTCCAGGATCAGAAAACGCCTTCAGTATTTCTCTGCTGTTCCTGGTTCTCTAACCTGAACCCTCTGCCCTTGCACTTGTTTAGGCAGCTGAATGGCTTCCATGTTCTGTGAGCTTCCGCGGTGGGAGGAGGGATTCACACCCCTGGGACAGGAAGAGTTATGTCTGCTTGCGAGACGGTTCCAATGCCCAAGGGCCCTATCTGGGTCCCTCCCATGTGGGAGATCTGGATGGAACTCCTGGCGCCTGGCGCCTGGCTTTGGCCTTGCCCAGCCCCAACCATTGCATCCCTCTGGGGAGTAAACCAGTAAGTGGATGGAAGATCTCTTTCTTTCTGTTTTTGTCTCTTTGCCTTTGTAATAAGTAAAAATAAATGTAAAAAATTAAAAAGGTATAAATCCTTGGTCTATGTCTATATAAATTCAATTTTTTGGGGTGTAAAGTTCTTTGGCTACAAGAAAGCACCTGTTGGGGCCGGTCTTGTGGTGTAGTGGGTAAAGTGCTGCATCAGTATCCGATATGGGCACAGGTTCGGGTCCTGGTTGTTCCAGTTCAGCTCCAGCTCCCTGCTAATGTGCCTGGGAAGGCAGTGAAGGATGGCCCAGGTGCCTGGGCCCCTGCACCCACTTGGGAGACCCAGAGGAAGCTCCTGGTTCCAGACTTTGGATCAGCCCAGCTCTGGGCATTTCAGCCATTTGGGAAGTGAACTACTAGACAGAAGATCTCTCTGTGTCTCTCTGTAATTCTGCCTTTCAAATAAATAAATCTTCAAAAAAACAAAAAAACAAAAAAAAAAAACTTCCTCAACTCTTTGCAAAACAATTTTTAAAAAATGTAAAAATGTTTGAGGGGCGAGTGCTGTGGCGCAGTGGGTTAACTCCCTGGCCTGAAGCGCCAGCATTCCATATGGGTGCCGGTTCGAGTCCCAGCTGCTCCACTTTCTATCCAGCTCTCTGCTGTGGCCTGGGAAAGCAGCAGATAATGGCCCGAGTCCTTGGGCCCCTGTACCCATATAGGAGACCTGGAAGAGGCTCCTGGCTCCTGGCTTCGGATTAGCGCAGCTCCGGCCATTGCGGCCAGTTGTGGAGTGAACCATCGGATGGAAGACTGCTCTCTCTCTGCTTCTCCTCTCTCTGTGTAACTCTGACTTTCAAATAAATAAATAAATAAATCTTTTTTAAAAAACGTTTGAAAAAAGAAACAAAGAATCAGAGACCCTGAACAGAAGCATCCCCGTGACGGTCGCCATGTCCTAATACAGGTGTGTTCAGAAAAGCGGTCCCGGAGAGAGCAATTCTCCTGCTCTTGAGTGGATCCCCAAGGCTTGTCTCTGCAGGACATTCAAAATGGAGACTTGAATTAATAATGCTTTTCTGCTGGTTTGTTTAAAAAAAAAAAAAAAGAAAAGCAAAAGCACATTTTATTTGCTTCACCAACACAAACAGCTGTGAATGCGGCCATGGAGCTCTGTTTCTTCTGCTGTTGATTTTTAACGTCATTGCCTGTGAACCCAGCTGAGTAGAGGGGTATTCAGCGCATTGATTCCCCCAAAAAGCACATGCCTCGTTATTGCAGTAATAAGGAAGCAGACGGGTAATGAAACTGCCCGATAGTTTTGAGGCCAATAGGTCAAACCTAAAGAGTTTAACCAAGGGGCTGGCGCTGTGGTGTAGAGGGCTAAGCCTCCATTTGCAGGGCCGGCATCCCACATGGGCGCTGGTTACAGTTCTGGCTGCTCCTCTTCCAATCCAGTTCCTTGGGAAAGCAGAAGATGGCCCAAAGTGCTTGGGCCCCTGCACCCACGTGGGAGACCTGGAAGAAGCTCCTGGATCCTGGCTTCAGATTGGCGCAGCTCCAGCCATTGTGGGCAACTGGGGAGTGAACCAACAGATGGAAGATCTCTCTCTGCCTCTCTTCTCTCTGTAATTCTACCTTTCAAATAAATAAATAAATCTACCTTTCAAATAAA